GCAATTGGTGTTGCATCACTGTAGGGCATGCCTCAGGGACTGGATGCAGCACTGGATGGCCTGGTGCTGCCTCTCCTGGAGGCTCCTGAACTGCAGTGTGCCCACCACCCCTGCGGGAGCAGAGGCAGCCCTGCCTCCTCCGCTTCCACTCCCCTGCATCCTCCACTCTGGCTCCACAGTGGCGGTTACTGCCTCCTCCCCAGTGGCTCCCTTGGTGGTGTCAGCGCTGTTTCCTGAGCAGCCAGCAGAAGAGCTCTCAGGGCCCCGTCCTGCCCGGACTCGACAAGAAACAGGCTGTGCTCACACTACCTGTTCTCAGCGGCTGCCCCCCTGGGACTGGAGGACTATGGTGGGGCTGAGAGGACGGGGCACCACCATCTTGTGGTAATGGGTGCTGCCATCTTAGTGATGGAGTGATGGTTAATTTGCATATTACTCTTTTATTAGATGGGATGGTGTGTGATTTAGATGGTATGGATCTTGTCCTTACTCTCTAGGGATACATAAGTCATCCAGCTAGTGGAATAAGGAGTAATGCTTGAAAATGAAAGGTTTGGAGTGGGCTGGGGTTGAGCGCCTATGATGTGAGGCCATAATGTATCAAAAAAGATTTTATTCCCGACACCTGGGTGCAGGTGGGCTGAGACCAAGAAAGGCATCAGTAAAGAGACAGGGAGAGATAGGTTTTTATTAATTTTTGCTGGCTGTAAGCCGCTCTGCTGATGTAAGGGTCTGGTCCATCCTTGGTTCCTCCCATGCCAGGTGTCTTCTGGTTGTCTGAGCTATGCTGTGCTCAAGCCTGCAAGCTTTCTGCTAAGCATAATAAGTTTTTTTCTGCCCCATTTTATTTCCTTTAACCCTTTGTGGTCCAATTTTATTTTTGGAATTCAAACAGTCTGGTCCAAACTAATTGATAGGATTGAATGTTGAACTGGTTTGTGGTGCCGACCTCAGCCTCGATGTTGGACCTGCTCCTAGCGCCTGGTCTGTCAAGTCAGCCTCCACGTTGGACCGAAAGGGTTAACCCTTTCAGAAATGCCTCTCCCAGCATGAGAAATTTGAGGAGGATAAAGGGTTGCAGTGGGACAGTGACGATGTAATCTAGAGACATGCATATGTAAAGCAAGGAGACAGGAAAGAACATTTTTATGTTTCTGTTCTGTGGGTGAGCCAAGGTGGTAAGAAAGTTGGAGCTGAAAAAGCTTGAAACCCCAGATACAAGCAATAGCAGACAAGGAAAGGCACTATGCTATGCTAAAGAGTTTTGACTTTGTTTTTCCTCTGAAAGAGGAAGTGACTTGCTGTTAAATTAATAAGTGATATAATTAATTCCCATTTAGGAAAATATTTCTGGTAGATAGGGGAAGTTATAGAGAACCAGTTTAGAGACTTAATGCAGTAAGTCATGTAAGAAGCAATGAGTACCTAGAGAAAGTTAACTCCTGTCCAAGAAACATCAAGGAAATAGAGATTAAAGAGTTGGGTACCAATCAGAGGGGAGAAGGTTGGGGGACTGGGTGAAAAGGTGAGGGGATTTAATAAAGAAACAAAAAAAAACCTCATTGATACAGACAACAATATAGTGATTACCACACTGAAAGAGGGTGGTGGGAAGTAGAAGAATATAAATGGGGGGATAAATGGTAATGGAAGGAGACTTGACACAATTAAATAAAAAATAAAAAAAATTTAAAAAGAGTTTAGTACCAGATTTGGTTTCTAGTGAACAAGAACTGAGAGCATAGCATGACTTCCTGGTCATTTTAGAAAACATACTGGGAGAAATAAGTAGAAGTAAAGCTTTGGTGTAGGGGAAAGGTTGCTGAAATAAAGAATTATTATAGGCAGCTCTCACTAACACCAGAAAGGTGTCACTGGACAGCCCCCTGAGCGAGTGGCAGAGGGCTGTCCCCAATCTCGATCATTGTCTTCTCATACAAATGAGTTTATATGAGAGACCCTGACTGCATTGTGAAAAGCCAATTTATTAAAACAATTAAGGCATGCATCTTTATTGAAAAAAAAAGCAAAAGCAAAGCAAGCAAACCTACACATCTGGCTTATGAAGCACAGAAGGGCTCTCAGCTGATCTGAAGAGCAAGTTTGGTTGGGGTCTGTGGCATCATACACCCTCCTGAGTATAGGTCTCAACATTCTTTTGTTGAATAGTTTGGTCAACTTTATCTTGCCAAGCATTGAGACTGCTGGATTCTCTGCTTAGGAAGTAAAATGGCCCTTTTTTCCTTTCCCTTTTCCCCCTTCCTTTCTGCATTCTCTCATTAGGGAGGTTTTTAAAACCATTTGCTCCATGTGTTGGCTGGGGAAGATAATGGCTTGTTAGTTGCAAGCTGGCTGCAAATTGCCCACAGTGATTGGCCTAGTTTTAACTTTCCCGTCAGTTTCCCTATTCCTCCTGCCCTGGATTCTCACAACAGATTGAGTGTAAATGTCTACAGGACAAGGCTGAATATATGCTCAGTAAGTAGTTTTATTCATGGGTTGGAGCTTGGAAGACAGGTAAGATAAGCCATAGATGTGGCTGAGTGTACATGTAGAGAGTGAAGATTAAATGTCCACAGATTGCTAGTGAAAGGGACAAATGTTATAGTGGAATCATTAAAGATAAAGACTACAAATGACCATTGGTTTGAGAACTAATATTAACTACAGCAAGGGAACAAATGGCAAAGTCTCTCTTTTAAAATGTAAGTATTTTTATTCCACTGATATGTATGCACAGGAATGGGTGAAAGAATTTAGGATGACCCCTAAGTTTCTGTCTTTGGGAACAAAATGGACAAATGGACATCCAAAGAAAAGGACTGAATTAAGGAAAAAACACAGGCGTGTGTATCATTTGTAGCATAATATTTTTGGATGAATTAGCTTATTTTGCAACTTAGAATATTATGAATTATCATAGTGTAGAGGAAATTTCACTTTCATTAGTCAGATGCAATTATCTCCCTCTGTGTGAAGCTGACTTTCCTTATCAAGAGCAAAGTGAAAGGGCTAAGCCTATTATGCTGTCTCTTTGATGTTTTTATAGGATATAATGAAAGATGACTGCTCAATGCTGAAGCTGCAGCTGAAAGAGAAGGATGAACTCATTTCCCAACTTCAGGAAGAGCTGGTAAGTGATAATATTTGCCCCACAAGTGTGTTTTCTTTGCAAGATTATTTGCTATAAAACCTACAACAATTTTTTAATACTAATATTACTTATTTATAAATAGTGATTCAATCTGATTATCAATTTTGTAATCCTATGATAATAAGGATTTGACAATCTGAAAAATAGCACATTTTATATTATGTATTAAACTTGATATAATTCAGAAACAGATCACTGAACCAAAGTTAGACATTTCAGTTAAATCTATGAAAAATTGTGAAGGATACAGCCACATTTTACTTTGTAAAGTGCATGATTTAACTCTACTATATCTAGAGTTAAAAACACCTATATATGTATAAAACCCTAATATGCAAATAGACCGAATGGTGAAATGGCCGAACAACCAGTCACTATGACATGTGCTGACCACCAGGGGGCACACGTGGAACATAGCAGGTGTCAGCATCAGGTGGCAGAGCACAGAACATGGCGGGCATTGGCCGCGGCGGGGTGGTGAAGCGGGGGGCACCAGAACAAGACGGGGAGCTGGTCACTGTCATCAGGGCAAACCTCTGATGGTTACTGAAAATTCTTTGCTCCTTAGCACTGTGGTCCTGCCTGGTGCTCACACCTGCTGCCAGCGCCAGCCCCGCTCACACCCGCTGCCGGCGCCAGAGCCACTGTTCGCACCTGCTACCAGCGTCTGGCCCCAGTCCCAATCACTCCACACCATCAGTGGGTAGGAGTAGGGCTGAGCCGTAAGAGCGTGGGAGTGGTGGCAGCGGTGACAGTGGGAGCGGGGCTGCTGGCAGACAGGGACCAGGCACCGCAGTGGGAGGGGCTGGGTAGGCGTGCAGAAGATGGGCCGAGACCTGCTCCTGTGCCCACCACATTCTTGTGGCCCACAGTTCCTTTCAAAGTGCATGAATTCATGCACTGGGCCCCTAGTATAATATAAAGCAAATTACTCATTCATCCTGCAAACAAAACCAGATTTTACTTTTTATTTTCATAAAATTACCAATGATACTTATTAATATAGATATTATTTTATATAAACCCCAGATGAAAATATCATACAGAAATATGAAATGTATATAGTTCATGTTTTCAGGGTGTGTTTTTTAAATGTGGTATCATAAAAAGGTAATCATACTTTTATAACATGAAAACACATTTGGTAGGTAACAAGTACTGGGCATTACTTTTCGAAGTATGTGTTTTCAACTTATGATGGTTTCATATTTGACTAGAGATTTGATTACCTTAACAATAATGTATAATGTAATTATTAAATATAATTAAATGACAAAACAGATTTTATAGACCACTAAGCTTCTGAGAACGGTTAACATGTTGGTGAGATGGCAGGCAAATTTAGAGCATATTTTATTGACTCAGCAACTGACAGCATGTTATTGAGACTTGACCTTTATTTAGACTGTTCCATGATGGAAACAAGGCTGATTATCGATCTCATGAGCATAGTGTTATTGCTGATTTAGAAATGTTTAAAATCCTTGTATAAGTGAACTTGAGCAGTTCAAACCCATGTTGTTCAAGGGTCAGCTTGTAGTCAATTTGGGTAATTCAAATTTAAAGTAAAAAGACACACTTGTGCCTCATTTTACTAAGTCAGCCAACACAGGACTTTTCTTGGAGGAAGAGGTACTAAATTTAATTATAGCTATGTACCATTGGATCTGGAAGTAATAACTTCTTTCTCATTTTACTCAACAAATGAGGGACAAATATGTATTAAATATTAGAATATTAGAATGTCCTGGGGTTGTATATGTGGTGTGGCAACATTGAAGAGAAAAAGAAATGTTTTTTTTCAGGAAGGAATTTTTTGTTTGGTAAACCTGAAAGAACTAGTTTACACAGGGGGTGATTATTCCCTACTGCTATATAATTGAACAAAATCACCTCTGCCCTGCTATGAGGTAATGTGAAGGGCATGGGCTAGTGGTGCCTATGTGGAATGGGGTATGTAAATAGTATTTTGTATATTGATAATAAATTGTATCTTGTATTGATTGGTCTTACAAAGTGTGTTCACAAAAATGGAATAAGCCAAAAAACGTTTGAAATTATCAAGTTTAATACCACTCACACATCAAATTAGATCTTTAAAATGTTTTTATTTTCCTCTTTCCTTCCCGTACAAACTTACATGAATTTTGTTGAGCTTGTTGAGGACTTTTAGTGACTTCAGTTCTTTTATTAGTTGGTTTTCCTTTGAAAGGTATTTCTTCTCTCATGAAAGCTTATGTATGGCTTGTATTTGCAAACCCTTAATCATGGTATTGTCTATTTATATTTAAATTATATGTAGTTTAAGATTTATTACACACTAGAGGCCTGGTGCATGGATTCGTGCACCGGTGGGTCCCACAGCCTAGCCTGTGCCTTTTCACAATCTGGAACCCCTCAGGGGATGTCAGACTGCTGCTCCTGCCTGCCGCTCCCACTCCTCCCAACCCCGTTGCACTTGCCACAGGCTCGTGCCCAGTCAATCCTGATTGGGAGGGGCTTACACTGCAGCACGGTGCTTGCCAGTTATAGTCTTGCATCTGGCGCCCATTGGTCAGCTGAGTGGTGCTTCTGCTGTGGGAGTACACTGACCACCAGGGGGCAGCTCCTGCATTGAGTGTCTGTCCCCCCTGTGGTCAGTGTGCATCATAGCAATCAGGTCGACTGGTCATTTGGTCATTCGTTCGGTCGCTTAGGCTTTTTATATATAGATTACTCCTTGCTTTCCTTTTCATCTTATTCCATTATGTAGACTCATCTGATTCATATATGGTTTTTAGAGTCCTTTCCCAAATGTTTCCTCTCAATGGGGGTATTGATGATATGGTATCTAAATCTTTGAATATCTCTTTACCTTGAAAGATAAAGGATGCTGCTATGGATTGAATTGTATCCCCCCAAATTCATATGTTGAAGCCCTACCCCAATGTGACTGTATATGGGATAGGGCTTTTAGAAGTTAATTAGTATTAAGTGAAGTGGTAAGTGTGGAGTCCTAAATTGATAGAATTTAGTGGCCTTGCACAGAGGAAAGGCCATGTGAAAACAAAAATGACAGCTGCCTACAAGCCAGGAGGAGAATCCTTAGTAGGACCTGACCATGTGGGAACCCTGATCTTGGACTTCTACCCTCCAGAACTATGAGAAAATTAACATTTTAAGAAATATATATATATATATATATATATACATATATATATTATTTATTGATTTTAGAGAGAAAGTGAGAGAGAGAAACATCTATGATGAGATAGAATCATCCATCAGCTGCCTCCTGCATACCCCATCCTGGGGATGAAGCCCACAACCCAGGCATGTGCCCTGATGAGGAATTGGACTGTGACCACCTGGTTCATACACACACATATATATTATTTATTGATTTTAGAGAGAAACTGAGAGAGAGAAACATCTATGATGAGATAGAATCATCCATCAGCTGCCTCCTGCATACCCCATCCTGGGGATGAAGCCCACAACCCAGGTATGTGCCCTGATGAGGAATTGGACTGTGACCTCCTGGTTCATAGGTTGATGTCCAACCACTGAACCAGTAGGACAGTCTTAACTTGTTTTTTAAGACACCTAGTCTGTGATATTTTGTTATGGCAGCCTGAGCTAAGACAGATATCATGTCAAAGTATAGTATTTTTAGGTCTTGGTTCTTTTTTCTTAGTAAATAACATTCCATAATTTTTAAATTTGGGTGCTGCACATGACCTTTTTCCATGGTTTACCTAGGTGTGTGACTATATTTCTTCCTTAATTATGACTAGTATCAGCAATTCTGTTCTGTCCATTCAAGTCTTCCTTCAAATTACAAATTGTTTCTTCAAGGCTTCCTTCAAATTATAGAATATTTTTTCTCTTGAAATCCATATGTCCATATTTGATCTTATTGATCTCTCTCTCCTTACATTTTTCTTTTAGTATTGAACTATTTTATCTTTAGCTGAAATTTTTCCATTTATATTCTAAGCCACTAATTTGTTTCTCAACAATGACTATATTTTTATAGTCTAATAAATATTAAAATACAGAAATTGTTTTTAAATCTAGAAAATAATTGTAATGTTTTAATTATATACTATTAAATATTCTTAGTATGTGGTGGTGTTAATTTGTCATTTGTGTGGACAGCATTTCTATTGCACTGTAAGTAGCCTGTCCTTAATATCTTGCTTGTCCTTCCTTCCTCGGATATTTGGTCCCCTTAAGATCCACAATTACTTTCTTTGACTTGTTTATTTCTCTATTTATCCTCAGTACTCAGGTTAAAAAAAATAGAAAATTTAAACCAGAGATGGTCAAAGGCCCAATAGAACCTGCTTTTGTTGGCTAGTAACAATGAACAAACTTGAAGGATTTTAGTCATTGGCTTTCTCTTATGACACCATGAGGTCTCTTCAGTTACAAATATTAAACAACTGACTGGTGTAGGTGGCTGCTCTGCAGTTCTTCCAGTCAAAAATACTCTTCAGATCTTCTTAGGATGAGAAATTAGGGAAGTATCACCTTTCTTGCAAGGATGGATATATTCCATCAGCTGTTTTCTCTCCAGAACCTTGATTTTTCATTCTTAACCCAGGCTTATTGGTGCTTGTCCAATGACTCCAGTTAAGCCCCTAGAACAGTCTTGAGATTCCTGTCTTCTCAAAACCCATCAGAACCAAAACTGTCCCACATGTGTCTCTTAACCTTGCCTTCCTGCTTCAGCCAGAAGAAATTAAGGTCAGTTTGGGAGATAATAGTGTCAGGAAACTGTATTCAGAATACCATCTCCTTTTGAGACTCTTTGTTCATGAACCCTCTGATAGCAAAGTCAAAATGGTAATTGTATTATGCAGTCTCCCCCTCCACAATTCATTTTTTTTTTTTTTATCAAGGCTTCAGGGGCAGCTACATTACATGAATCCCCAAGGCATACACCAGATTTGATCAACTTTGCATTAGGTTAGAACAGTGGTTGGCAAACTGTG